GACTGAGAGTGAAGAAATTGACAGTACCCATTGTGTAGCAGGGCCTGTTTATCATTAGTAAAAGCCTACGCCTGCACTACTTTGAGCAGGGTCCTGGACCCCAGTCTCACCTGTGTCCTCACCTGCAAACATGAGTGACAACAGGGCAGCAGGTGGCCACTCAACTGCTGTTTTCCATGGCTTGCTCAGGACTCTGACCTCCTTAAGGAAGCCCAGAGCAATTTTGATGTCTATTACTACAAATTCCTTATGCATGCTTTAAGTTAATAGCCTTCACTGGGAGGGGGCTGGAAAATGTTTTCCCTCTGATTTAGAATTGTTCTTATAACCCTAACCAATGTTTTCCAGCTCTCAGCTTGCTTTCTCTAAGTGCTCCACAAGAACCTTGATGGGCCTGAAAGCCAACCCTGGAGGCTCCTTTCTTCTTAGGATGGCTGTGTTAAGTATAGCATGGGAGACAATTGTGATGAGGAGTGGGATGGGGTGGGGTGCTAGAAGGTTTCTAAGGAAAAAAAAACAGTGGGGAGAAGACTGGATGCTGCCACCAATTCATGTGACACAGCAACCTTCATGAGTCATGAAAGGAGCTTGCTTAAGGATAACCCATCATATTGATGAGGGTAGAAGAAAAATACAGAAATATCAGACCTTGGTATCTCTCATTTTATCACCTCCATAGTTATTCTACCAATGGAATGGTTTATCATGCTAACTAATAAACTATGCTGTGTAAGTCAATCTTACCTTACAGCTAAATGACAGATTGCGTGGTAGTATTTGTGTAAGGTTATGATGAATGGTAAATGATAAATATAGTAAGGAAAAATGATACATAGTCAAGCTCAAATAGGAATTATAGGAATTATTAGTGGGACTGTGTTTTACAGTGTCTGGAAAGACATGTCTGTCACTGTGTGAGACTGTGGCAATGGCTAGGGCTATTTTCCAGAGGCATGTCACCATGTCAAGTGACTGCCAGTACATGGGCTACAACACTGGTCTCTAAGGACCATACACTATTTCCTATCACCACCAAGGGAGCCACAGATATTCAACCAAAGTTTGGGGGATCTACGACAGAATCCTTAAGCCTAGCTGGAAGGAGAGGAGGCCAGTGATCAGCTAAAATTGCCTCCAAAACTGAGTGAAGAGAAATCATCTTGACTATGAAAACATTTCAGAGCAGCAGGATTCAGGAAGATGTCTATAGACCCTTCTCTTCCCCTAGAGTTTCAATAACAACCATTATCCCTGAACAACACTGACCATAGGAATGTGGAAATGCTTGGACAAGGAAAGGAATAAAGGAAGCCATTAGAAATTTCCTGAGGGCGCAAATCTGCCCTGAAACTTCCTGTTTCCAAAGTGTGGTTTAGGAAGCACTTCCCAGTGCCTTATGGGTGAAAATCTGTTATTGTCTTAAAAGCGGTGTAGCACCAATTGTCTGGAGTAAAATCAATGGTTCTTACCCAAGTTAAACTTTAGAACTGAGCAAGATGCATTTCTTAAGATGCCAGCACAGAGGCTCAACCAGGCTATCAATTAGGTTGGAGTCTCTGAGACATACATGTAGATGTATCTAAGTAGGTAAATATTTGTGTATGTGTGTGTTAATGAACTTTTCTAAGCTTTTGGAATCCTGGGGCAAAAAACTTACTGAGCGAAGCCTTGTCTTCCCCACTCTTCACCCTTGTGACACCAGCACATTATTTCATCTTTAAGCCTCAGTCTCCTGGTCTGTAGTTATCACAGTAAAACAGAATAAATGATATGATGCAAATGAAGACATTAGCCTAAAATTCAAGTGATCCTATGGTACCTATGTCCTGTACATGGGACTGGTCACTCCATTCTCCTGCAGAGCCTGGCTTGAGCTGGCTCACAGAGCCAGTGGGTGCAGCCAAGGACTGAGGAAGTTCACAGGGAGAAGTGCCACTTTCTCTAATCTCACCTGCTAATGAAGCTTGTGAATTCCTGGAAGAAAGCTAGTGTCCTGAAATAGCACTTAAAATGAGTCTCCTAGAGGTGCCTTGGTCCTGCCTCAAGAGAGGATGGGAAAGACTTAATAGACTTCCTAAGGGATGCCTAACCCTCTGGAGGAGCAGAAGGGAGGTGGGGGGGGGGAGTGGGGAGAGCAGGAGGAGAGGAGAGACGGGGAAATGGGATTGGAATGTAAAAAATAAATTAATAAGAAAATATAAATAAATGAGTCTCCTAGAAAGGACTTGCACTAAGGTCCTCTATTGCTTCTCTCTGCTGGTTGTCAGAGAAGATGATGAAGCAGCCACACCCTGCTGTGAACATTGGCCAACCTGTCATGGATGGCTGCAGGCAGTAAACAAAGCTGCTGACCCTCCACAGGAAAGGCATAGAAAAATAAAAGCATCCACAGTCACCTGGAACCAATTGCAATAGGTCAGGCTCTCC